AACCCCCCAGCGCTGGGCACTGCTGGCTGCGGTGATCCTGGGAAGCCTACGGCTCTCCTCGGCACCCGGATGTGTCCGGCGAGCACAGGGGCTCTGCTCCTCTCGAGGAGAGCTCTGCAGCAGGGCTCCATGCGCAGGGTGAACCGATCCTGCCTGCCCACGGGGACAAGCGCCGGGTGCTGATGTAAGAGCAGGGGCTTCCTGATACCTGTGGGAGAGGGAGCCCCCAGCTCCTGCAGAGATGGAGGCACAGAGCCGGGTCCTTTCTCTGCCAGGTTCTGGGCAATCCCGACTGTGTCAGGCTTTCAGTCACTGTAACTCTGCTGTGTGCAGGGAAACGCTGGTTAATTCACGGCGGCGCAAGAGCAGCCGCAGTCACCGCCCCCCGCCAGCCCTGCCGAGGTGGGTGTTTTGCTGACTGGCTCAGTATCGTTCATCCCTTCCAGCAAAGGCGAGTTGCTGGAGAGGTTGCGTAAAGCAGAGCTCCCAAATATGTGAAAGCATTCTTGAGCCTTTGCCCGGAGCCCACCAGCTCCTTTTGAAGATTAAGACAGGAGTGATGAAGGCGATTCACCTCTGAGCGAACAAAGGTCATGTGAAAGTATGAACCCACTTGTGTTCTGCAAAGGGCTCGCGCTGACGAATGGGAGCAGCTTCCTCTGGAGCAGTGTCTGCTCCGGACAGTCGGCAGCTGGTTTGTGCTGACTCGAGTCAGAAATGCTCAAGTCTTGTAAAACATACCTGGCGGGCGGGCGGCGCAGGGCATCCGGGCACACGCACGCCATGGAGGGGACGCTTGTCCTGCACAGGCGTCGTGCTTCAGCTGCGCCGAGGTCTGATGCTGTGCAGCAAACCCAAGTGTCCATCCTCTGCGTGAACAAGTGTCAGAGGCGCAGATTTGCCTGGGCTGCCCTTCTCCTGTATTTCCACCCTGATAGGAAAGAACTCCCCGCCAGGGCAGCATCTCCTGTGGGCGCGCTCAGCTGCTGGCACCTGTTTTCTCTTTGGTTTATCAGAGGAGAGCACCAAGAGAAGTTTTTTTGCAACTCCCATCAATTGTTGTAATTATTCAACATCAGCAAAACTGGAAGCTTTCAAATCAACTTTACCTGATGGTATGTCCCACCATACAGCACCAAGTACACTGAGCTATCAGCCAGCCAACGGCGGCAGGCTGAGGACAGGACCACGACTGAGAGTTAGCGTGTGCTTGGCAGAGTTTGACGGATTCCTGTTGGAGGAATGCTGCTCTGCTGCCCGGGTTCTGCTGCTCACAGCGCTGGGAGCCACTTCCCGCTGTTGCTGCGGATGAAGGAATACTTCCCGAGTGCTCTGGGTGAATATGCACCTGCAGCGACAGAGATGCACAAAAAAATAAATGCAGCAGCGTGTGAGCGGAGTTGTGCAAGAGCTCTGGTATCCCCAGCGCTGGGTGGAGGGCTCTGCTCCTCACTTCTACAAATAACACCCGTTTTCTGTCTCTTTGTTCAGGCTTATTCATTCCTTGCATCACCAAGCAGGCAGCCGGGGATCTCGGTGTGTGGTGTGGTTCTCCACGGCTGCACGGGGAAGAGCAGCATCCTGTGCTCTGTGAGGACACCCACGTGTTGTGTTTGGAGGTGCCCTGGCGCTGCGCTGGGTATCGGAGAGGATCAAAGCCAGAGGAAAAGGAAACTCCTCCTGCGTCTCTCTCGCAGTGCGGAAACTCAAAGCAGTCAGCGGGGATCCCCTTCCCTCTGTTCTCTCCCCTGTATCCTCGGGTAGTTCCTTGGATTTGTAAAACCAAATTTCGGACAGGGGAGATGGGTTTGAAACCCTCAGCCTGGGTGAATGTCCCGGGGTCTTCAGCTGGAGAGGGTCCTTGGCCACGGAATTCAGTGCTCCCGTTCGGTGTGCACAGAGCTCAGCCTGGCTTTAGGATCTCCAGGACTGACTGTACATGCGACTGTGCCCCTGTGCAAGGGATTGTTCCCGGAAACACCGGGACCCTGGCTCCGAACAGCCCAGGCGCCAGCAGCTGCTGCTCTGGATTGGCCTCAGGCTGATTTAGCTGTGAAGGATTTTGCCTCTCTCGTTCTGCTCTCTGTGGTGCAGGACAGAGCAGTTCTGTACATTTTGTGTGTTCCTGTGGGCAGAGGGCTCCAGTCACCTCTGATCTCATGACTGGGAGTTTTGATCCAGTGGAATTTTCTTCCTCTCTTCCCAGGCTGGAGAGGAAAGGAGATGCGGGGTTTTTTCTAGCAACAGATGGATGGCTGTGTCTGTGATGGTGCTTTCCCCGCAGCGTGAATAAACTGGCCTCGCTCTGTTCCTGTAACTGAAACACACAGATTGGCGCTGGCTGGGGATCGTGGCCTGGTTTAGTCAGCAGAACGGCTCTCGGGGAGCTGGCGTGTTGACACAGGATGGTGCAGGTCTGGGACAGGATCTGGCCACGGCTCTAGGAAAGCCCATTACCCCGTTTGTGCTGCTGCAAGGGCTCTGGGAGACTAATGGCACCAGTGCGTCCTCTCGCTGTCTGGGGCTGGCTCCAAACCTGTGCTGAGTAAGTTCAGACGCTGGAAATAACAGCAGTGGTGCTCTTGTCTGCCTCAGCCTTCCCGTAACCTCCCAGGAGGACTTCAGAATCTTAGAAGAAATAAACAGGGCAAGAAACATGACTCTGACTAACTGAAAAAATAATGTTACTTGCGCCTGGCAACAATTAGCCAGCAGGCACTGAGGGACAGGATCCGCCCCGGCTGAGCCCAGCTCTTCCTCCGAGCCCAGAACAGCTCAGCACAAGGAGCCCGCAGCAGGATTCATCCCTGCATCTGCCTCTCTTGTCAATGCCAGCGTCAGAGGGTCGCAGCCTGTCCCTGTTCCTTGTGGGATGCTGTCCCTTTTGCTGCTGGAACAGCTGGAGCTGTGACCCCTGGCCCATGTCTGTAAGTCAGCGAGGTGTGTTTAACCCATTCCTCACTGAGAGTGCGTCCTTCCTCCCACTTCCCCAGGCATTTCCTGATTACAAGCTGCAGGATGTGTTTCTTCTCCCATTTTACTCAGCTTTACGTCAGGAAAGCTCTGGTGGAGCCTCTGGAGGACAGGACAGGACAGCTCGAGGGGTATAAAACCAAGCAGACCATGCTGAGGTGCTCTGAAACACCACGCTGCAGCTGGGGCGCAGAGGCTCTCTCTGCTGTAAGAGGACGTGCTGTTCTCCCCCTGCCCCGTCAGTGCTCCTCTCTTCCAATCCAGTAGGGAAACACTGCAGGTGAAATGTCTGTTGTACCAACAGCCAGAGTTATGGGATAGTTTTACACATGCACCAGAACTCACAGAACCTGTTTGTTGAACGCACTGACAGTCAGTTGTACTTTAATGGCCTTTCCATTGCAAACATGCTTTTTTTTCAATCTTGCCTTTATAGATTTTTTTGTAAAATACGGACCAGCATGTTGGATGAAGAGCAGGTAGCCAGGACTCCACTGCTGCCTCTGCCGCGTTTCTGCTCTGTGGCCCTTTGGAGACCATTCAGCCCAGATTTGCAACGATGTTAGACCATCTGCAGGTGTCAGGAGATGCTGTGCTCTGACTTACAAGGATTTAGTGCTCATTAAAACCTACTGTCCCCTGTTCCTGCATGCCATGTGCTACTCAGGTGCGCTTCAGAAATGGTGTGTGTCTTCAGGTGTCTGCGTGCCTTTGCAGGCAAGCTCTCCTAATTTCTGTGCTTCATTTGTTTTCATCTTGAGTGGGCAGTAACGCTGTTCAGTCACTTTTGTGTTTGGTATCTCTAGTAGTGAGAAATACTTCAGACCAACTCTTATTTTTACCTGGCCCGGGGAATCCTTCCTGTGATCTCCTCACTGGCCATCGCCCTGTGTTTGAGATGAACACAGCACTCGAGCAGTCCTGCTTGGGAGACCCTTTGTAATCCACGAGCTCGTACTGCCCAGGCCCGGGCGAAGGAGGATCTTTACAGGGTGGGCTGGCTGCAGCAGAGAGGGTCAAGCAGAATTTCTCTCTGTCAGGAGAAAAAGAGATTTGAGGAACTTGTCCCACACTGATGGGGTTTATGCCTGGAAATAAAAGCTGCGGTTTGTTAAGTGCCCTGGGGAGGTGGATGCTTAATCCTCCTAAGCCAAAATCTTTGGGAAATGATCTGGGGACAAAAGGGTTCGATTGCAGGGCCATGGACAGCCCGCTCTGTTCGTTGTAAATACAGGCTTGCCAGTGGTCCAGCTTCTGTAGAGACCTGGCTGCCCAGCTACTCCAGAGCGAGACAGCGCTGAAACCAAGACAGGGTGCCAAATGCTCCAACTGGGAGCTCCTCCCCGCCTCTCCCACTGAAATGGGAGAGGGAGCAGATGCTAACCCAGCAGTTGGGTGGGGAGTGTTTTGGTGTTTTCTGATAATACAGACTGGTGATCTTCTCCTGTTTAGTTTGCCTTGCCCTTTCCTCTAGCTCTCTGTCCTTATCAAATGCCACTTGGCATTGCTCCCCTCCCAGCCTACAGCTTCCCACTCTTGTTACAAACCCCCTGTCATAAGATACAACTGCTGAGAGATGTAGTAAAGATACACCTGCTGGGTAAGGGCAGCCACGGCCTTTCTCAGGTTCTCATTCTTTTCCACGGTCAGGAATTTATTGTCGATCTTAATCTTCGGCCAGGCAATGTCACTGCACGGTGACAATAAATTTACTTGAACAATTTGCTAATAGGCAGATTTATTTGTCTTCTCATCAGGATACCAAGGGGGAGGAGGGCTTGGGAGCAGGGAGTTTCCGTCCATGCCTTTTAATCGCTTTGAAACAAGCGTTAGGACGGAATACACGGGAATGGCAGTTCTGATTTGAAGGAAGTTTTCTTGAGATTTTTACAAGCCTCCTTCCAGCTCTAATTCCCAGCCTTGGCAGGGGCTGAGGAAATGCCCACATTTTACCCCTCGGGTTCCTTGAGATGCTCAGCAGCCAGGAGCATCCCTCACCATCCCTGCCCCGTGGTTCCCAGATTTGACTCCTTGTGCCTGGTGTGTTCCCCGGGGTGAGTTTAGGCACAGGCACTGCAGAGGAAACACAGCCTAACGCTTCAAGCCTCTTCCTGCGATGGGAAGGATCTTTTTCCAGGTCATGTGGGCTCTGACTTCTTGCTCTGTAAAACGGGGGTAAGAAATTACCCCTACATCATAAGGGTGGTGCAGCATTTAATTACTGTTTGTAAATGTCTGCGAGATCATCTGATAAAGGCACCTCCGATACGCTGCTCCAGGGTGCCAGCAGCCCTTCAAGGCAGCGCATGGTAACGCTTCCAGCTCTGAGCCAGTTCCTGTAAACCTGTGGCAATAAGTGGCCCCATGGGACCCAGTGGTGCAGTGGGACACTGTGGGATCACCCTGCTGTCTGACATAGTTTCATCTGCCCCATGAAAGCGGCATGTCTTCCGGGCTGGACTCACCTGAAAGGATTTTTCTTTGCTGCTGTGGTGGGTTTACGTGGCTGATAGATCGCAGGCTCTGGCGTAAATCTGTCCATCACGGTTAGGTGGGAGGTCTTGGACTTGAAGAAAGATGTTATAACCCTGGGAGACGTCTTGGTGAGGGAATCGTTGATGTCTTGACAAACAGGAAGAGGATGTAAATACCAAACAAGGCTGCAACAGTGGTGGTGAGGAAAGAGAGTGCATCAGTCAGTGAATGTAACAGAAGGAAAAAGAACCGGTGTAACAGGGCTGTGTGGGGAAATCGCTGCTGGATTTACAAAGTGCTGTCCTGGGCAGAGCTTATTTCGAGGGACGCTGATAAGGCAACACTACACTTTGTCCTGAGCATAGGAACAAATTGGGATATTAGCAATTTTAAAGAATCAAACAAACAGGAGGAGAACTCACACGCGGTATAACTTGTAAGATAAGCTACAAGGAGATGTGCCCTCGCACTCCAGGTCTCAAACCTCGCCAGGCAATGAACCAGGAGTAGAGTTCTTCTGCAGCTGGAGTCCTGTGGAGCTGGGTACATTATGCACTAATGTGGCTTCTCCTGAAGCCTCTGGCATTTACACGGAGTTGTGGGGTGCTCTAGTGTTTCCTTACGGCTACTCAAAGCTGTCACGATGGTTTCCACGTGGTTGGCTCAGCAGGGACCTACCCACAGCTCTTGGAAGGGAGCCTCAGTAGTGTCCTGACACCTGCTTCAATCCAACATGCCTCAAGAAGCTCTGAGTGACCGGAATTTGTGTGCGATGGAGCCCTGCACCCTAGAGGATCAGAACCAAAATCACCAGCAACATCTTTCCTCAAGGCTCACGTACACGGAGAAGGCCATTTTCCAAATTTTTTGAAATGGAATCCTCTTGTGGTTTTGGACAGAAACACTGCCTGGCCCGAAATGTTGTTGCTTTGCTTGCAGAAATCCAGAGAGGTCTGTTTCAGAAAAAGACAAAGGGCTCGTGAATGCCTTTCAATTGACTTTACCTGTGGGTAATTACCAACAAAGGAAAACCCACATTTAAAATCCAGTTGTCTCCGTTGTGAGTGATTCTAATGATACAGCTGGAGGCTGTATTAGGGCCCAAATCCCAGAGTGCTTACGGATTGTAGGTAGCTCTCTTTGTGACTGCCCAGCATGTAAAGGTTGCATTTACACAGGCGCCAAGGACTTGAAACTCTTGCAGAAAGTGCGGCTTTGTGTGTTTAGCTTCTGTCTCCAGAGCTCTCCCAGGTCAGCTCTAAGTGTCCGGTTTTAAGTCACCAGCTGAGCACAGACCTGGAGGCGGTGCTGCCAAGACACCAAAGGGCACCTGCGCAGCAGCCCCTGGAAAGCGCTCCAGAGCAAGGGAGATGTCTCTGGGGCTGGGGCTGCAGGGTGGGCTGGTGGCTTTGAGCTAAAGATGACTTGAAGAATTTGTGCTTCAGTTTGTTCAAGCCTGCAGATAACTGCTGGAGTGTTTTGCTCTCCTGCAGCTCGCACCAAGCTCAGGGTGCAGGACTGTTGTTGTGTTGTTAGCGGTCCCCAAGCTAATTAACCTGGACAGAGGTGCCAGAAGTCCCGGGGGCAGCAGGTCACGCTGCTCTTCCAGAGCGCTCAGCTACCTGCTCACTCACTGCCCTGGTGCACGCTGCAGCTCTTCTACAAAATCCACACAGAAACATTTCACCCACAGCTCCGAAAGAGTCTCACATGCAAAGTGAGAGTTGCTCTCCTTACAGAGTCAGAAAAACTGTGGTGCCAAAGGTTACGAGTTACCCCAAACCACAGAACAGATCACGGGAAAGGGCGATGCCCACGATGAAGCCTCACCTCCTGGCACATGCAGGATTTAAAGCTTTTTATTGCTGACTGCTGAAATGGACTTTTTCTAACCAGGCTATAGTTAGAGAAAACATCTAAAAGTCGAGGCTAATTCAGTAATGTAAGTGGAAGAGTTCAGTTCAAGCACAAGAGTGAGGAGGTAGCAAGAAGACACCAGCATTGAAGACTCAAACGGAAAAAGACTCTTGATCTTTCCCTTTTTTTTTTTTTTTTTTTTTTTGCTTGTTTCCTATAGTAACCTGGTGAAATGCCATAGTCGTGATGTTTAACTCTTTTTATTTTAATACAGATTTTGGTCCCAGAGTTGAAGATGGCTTTGAGGACAGCTTGGGACACTGTTTTCTTGTTTCTCACTCATTTTTTCTCTACTATTTCTCAATTTTCAGTTGTTCCCGCACCAAAAGTAGATCCTGCAGTTACCAGACAAAATTTCCTTTTTGCCTGAGTGGGAGCAGTGACCGTGCAAAGACTGCAGGGTCTGGCCTTCTTTGTCTTCTCAGATGTCTCTTTGTCTATAGCCATAAATTATCAGACACTGCCATCTTTTTAATAGATAGTTTCCTGTTCTGCTTCTTGTAGGTTAGATATTATCTCCCACTGTAAATCATGAGTCAGGGATTAATTCAAGAAGGCTGTTCCCAGAAGCAAATTCTTACAATGTTAAAAATAATATGATGCGAATCCATTATAGTATGATATAGAAAATAATTATGGCCTGCAAACTAGTTTAATCAACTTAGAACATGCTGGGGCAGATACTCCGTCGGAGTGAGTCATTATAAGAAAGTTCAGAGTCTCAGCGTATAGGTTGTGCGAGCGAACGCGATTCGCCCATGTCAGCTGAGGCTTCGTAACTCTGCGTGTGCTCATCACACGCCCCAACGGTGAGGTAAGACGTGTTTGTCTCAAACACCTTTGCTGATGTTTAAACTGTATCAAATTACTTTATAAAAGCATGAATTGCTTCAAGAACACGCATGCAGCCAGTTCAGATGTCTCAGCTGATGAGTGGCAACTTATTAAGCTGATGAAATCGTGTCGTCTTCATTCTGTCTTCAACAGCTATGCAAAGTCATCAAATGTTAGACTCAACACGCTCTGCCTCCCCACACAGCCGATGTGTCTCGCACTAAAGAGCAGTTTCAAAGGGGACAGCTCTCTAGGAAATAGCTGCAGTGCAGAAAAAGACAAAAGCTCTCTCTAACGAATAACAAAACCATCCAAAAGTAATCACAGCTATAGCAAGAGACCATTGAAGGGACAGGAAAGTCCATTAGTAGTGCGTATGTCATTATAAACTATCTGATCATTGTTAATAACACTTTGTGTTCTGTTAACATCTTCCATATCTCCTGAATTCCTGTGGACTGAAGCTTACAACACCCAGCGAAGCCTGGTCATGGTGGCCTGGGCGGGGAGCATCGGGCACAGAACAGTTAAGTGACTTGCACAGGGGTGAGTCAGCAGGAGGTTGAGGAACTGAACCTGAAGGCTAGGTCCTCAGCTGATATAAACTGGCACAGCTCCACAGCGAGTGGAAGGGCACGGCCCATTACATCAGCTCTACGTCTGCAGACCTGATTCCCAGCTCTGAGGTTGAACCTCAAAACCCAGTACCTGTCACAGATGTACCATTCACCTGCCTTGAGCTTCTTGGCAGAGGTTCCCCATAAACAACCAGCGCAGGTCGAATTTTTGGGATGAAAACTCATGGGATGCTATCGGGGCTTTCAGTATCAAAGGCGGTGATGTGGCAAGGACAGGGGCTGCGGGTGTCCCAGGGTCAGGGATGTGTCCTTCCTCCCTTGGTGTTGAAGGATTACTGAAGAGTACCCAAACTGGGGAGGTTACAGCTAGTTCCAGTGTTTTCTGGAACATCAAACATCACAAACATTACAGGTTAGCCATGCCTCCCCCTTGTCCTCCCTTGAAAATCTTACATAGTATTGATTGGGTGCTGGAGTGGGCATCTTCTCCATCTTCCTTGCAATGGGTTGTTGAAACATGCTGGAGTTTCCTTGGCTAAAATCTTGCTTGGACTGAAAACATGACGGGATCTTGTAGGCATTCGGAGCTGGATAGTTGGACATTTTCCTGAATGCAGTGCGTGGGACCTGGAAACAGGGGGGGCAAGGAAACTCTCAGTATGAGCTGGGAAGAAACTGGGGCCTGGAATTTACCAAATGTAATTTTTAAGGGCTAATCACCTTTTGCATTTTAAAACCAGCAGAAACTGCTAAGCAGAAATGATGGCTGCAAGTTCTAAGAGATGAAATGGGGCCAAAAGTGACTTTTTCAGGTACAAAGTTTTGTTTATTTCTTCTTTTTTTGGGGGGTGGAGATGCTCATTACCTTGCAAACAAAATCTTAAAGACAACCTCTTAGTTAGAGAGAACAGATCCTGAAATCATCCACTTTAGCGACAAATTTCAGATAGCTTAGTACAATATTCTAAATGAGCCCACAAAGTGTGTGTGTATATAGATCCTTCTTTACGCTTTGGTAGCTTGACAAGAGCTCTGCCAATCTGGCTTGAAAAGGTTTATGCAAAATTTAAAAGGACCACCTCTGGGTGAGACTGAGCAAAGGAAATTTCAGCCCCAGTAGAAATGTAAAAGATAAGAGCACATGAAAAAGCAGCTTAGAATAGCTGTTGGACTTCCACCTTAATTGGAACTGTCTGGCAATGAGAAATTATTTTCCTTCTTGGCTGCATTGTAGAAACATCCCCAGTACAACACTAAGTAGCTATTGCAGACAGAGCCAACGGTCGGTTACAGACCAGATCCGTAGTCTGCTGAAGCCAGAGGTGACTTCAGCAGCTTTGGAAATCAGTCTGAAACAAAACGCTTCCTCTTACCAGTGAAGGGAAGTATCCCGTTCCTTTCGTTGACAATGAGGTGCTGTTGATCTCTGGAGACTGATGAATGACATTATAGAGTCCTGGGCCTGGGGTTTCATTCTAGCAAGAGAAACATCACATGTGGTGACCGAGCTGTATTAGTTACCACTCTCCCGGGGCAAACGCAGTGAGGCACAGGCTCACACCGATGCTGACGGGTCAGCTCCTTTCCCCTGTACGTCCCTGCTCTTCATCTTTCTGAGCACAGACCAAAACATACCAATTATTTTAAGAATAATTCTGAGAACAGTGATGCTGAAACAGAGCAATGGCCCACACAGTCCATATATATATGAACAACTTTTAAACCTTGCTTACAATTGGTCTTACTGGCCCTTATGGTTGTGAGTTCCACAAATGAACTACTATTAATTTTTTTATTATTATTTGTGTATCTGTTGCTCCAAACAGCTTTCACAGTAAATTACCACCCCAGTTTACAAATGGAGAATGAACATTGTTTGTACAATTACTTCCTTCTTTCAAGCTTAAATTTCTTGCTTTTTAAGTTTATGCTGATGTCCTTCTATTTTTCTTCATTATCTCACATACAATTCAAGCTGTCTTATTTGTCTTCTCTGTAAATTAAACATCTTCAGTATTTTCAGTCCTTACTGGGACTCTAATGATCGTATCTCATTTCTAAATTGAGACTATTTCTGCCATAGCCTTTTTTTAGAGTTAGGGTGGCCAGAACTAAACATAACAATTCAGCTGAAGGTGTACCAGCAGCATAAATGACGGTATTACTGTATTTCCTGTATCATTTTCCAAGTCATCACTTGCATGCCAGGATTTTATGCTTTAATTGTAATTGTGCATTGAGGTAGACTTCTTCATTGTTTCAAAATTATAATCTTTGGATGCAAGTCTCCTGTTGCATGGAAAACTGAGTATTTCTGAGTATGAGGAAGATCAAATTTCTCTACGTGGCAATTTGTATAGACTGGGAGCCACAGCAAATCTAAAATCTCACCCATGACATCTGCGTTGGACCTAATGAATTCAGCATGTGGGCAGAATGCATTATTTGCAGTCACCACACCTTTCCCAACTCTGTTCTCTTTCAGGGCTTTTCAAAAAGAGGACTGGGTGGGATTCTATTTATAGAGCCAAATAAATCGAAACCTGCCTGTGTCTTACATGGTACCTCCAGCTTTTCAGATGTGGTCCCATGAAGTGCTGAATGCCCTTGGTAGCATGTCCTACTTCTGCCAGTCCCAGAAAAAAAAAGTGGGACCCGGAAGGTTTGGGACCGTACCAGGTGAAAGAAATAGCTTTGTGCTAACATAAACATGAAACCGTTTCAGCATGTAGGATGTAAAGAGCTGAAGTTCCTGATCTCTAAGAGCATTCTACCACTATGTGAACTTCATTGTCCTGTCTGTCAGTTACCAATGGAAAACATTCTGGAAGTGACTTAGTTTCTGTTCTGATGACTCAGGATTGGATTCTGACAGTGACCAGATGCCCTGCAAAAAAACAGCATGTGCTTAGCAGCGAGGGAAAGATAATAGGATGTGTGGGATTGAAGGACAAGGCAATGTGCAGTCGAGAGGAGAAAATAAAGTAGTTTGGGCATTATTCCACTCATGCAAAGACAGGAGGCTGAATGAAGGGATTTGACTGTGTAGAGGTTTTTGTAGAATCAAGAAGGAGCAGGAAAGATGGTTAAAAATGGGGAAATGGAAGCCTGCATAGGATGAATATAGGGTTGATTAAAAAACACCATCCAGCCAGGAGCTGTGCTGATGGTCATAGAGCAGCAACCCTGGGATGACTCGCTCCCCCTTAAAAAACAACCAGAAATGGAGAAGAATGGAGGCCCTCGCTCTGCTCAGTCTTGCAAAAGAGTAGAGAGAAGAATAGATGGGAGTGGGCAGGAGTATTGTCTGCTGGAGAAGATGCTGTTGATTTATAGTGAGATCATGGGCAAATCACTTCACCAGTCTGTTTTTCCACTGCAGCTGAGCTGTTTCTTGCTACATGCACGGACAAGTATAATAGTGCTGCTACAGTGCTAAAAATAATAAAACCCAAATATGTGCCACTTCCATTGGAACTGGAAGAGCATTGCAAGGAGTCAGATCCCAGGTCTCCAGTTCTTGCTATTTGCACACATAACCCTTGCGGATTTGGCCTTCCTCATAAAAATGCCACCTGAGTTATAAAGCAGGTGGTCACAAATAATCTTTTCCACGTGTTTTTCTTTATAGGAAAACGCTTCAGGACAAACCAAAAGCTGAGGTATGTGCTGTAACTCTGGGAATTTCAGCAGAGCTGCTCTGACTTACAAACTTACAGGAGGAGATTTCTGAAGATGTGGTCTGAGGGCTGGTCCACGTGGAGCAGGCAGGGATCCTGAGCTGGCCACTTCTTATCAACCCCCAGAACTAGAAGCAGAACAGACACTGTGCTGCTCTGGTCTTTGGCTTGCATCTCCACGTGGCCCTGCCTTATGGAAGCCCAGCCACATGCTCGAGACTCCACCCTGTGCTCTATGGACAGAGAGTTGTGCTGAGGAAAGCAAGATGGGTCCAATTTGCTAGAACTGGCTATTAAAATTGCAGCAGGTTTCCAAAGCAGCTGATAAAAAACTGCATCTGCAAGCCCCATTCCCTGGTGTTGCCCAGGCTTGGCTGCTCCTGCTGACCAGCCTTCTGAGGCTTGGCTGGAGTCCCAGGCTCAGCCCTGCCCCGCAAAGGGGAGTTACTACACCGGCAGCACGTTCTCGCTTAGCGCCTTCCAGCACAACACGTGTCAGGGAAACAGCTCCCGAGCCCTTCTCCCATCCAGTGCATCCAGCTCGGGGTTTGGCATGCCCATCGTCACCTCAGAGTTGTTGAAAGTAATTGGAGATTAGACATCAACACGCCCTGGGAAATTTATCTCCTGCTAAAGTGACTGCACACCTCTGTGCCCTTTGAATGCTTTGAATCGTATTCTGGTAACGTAAGGGGGCACTGAGCTGTAAGTCCACCAGCAATACCCTGCAAACTGGGGTGTTCTGGTATCTGTCGGGATGTGCGAAGACAGTGCTAAACCGGCGGAGTTACAAAAGTGGGTCAACTCACCTGTTAGGTATTCTAGGTCAGGCAGTAAGAAGCAAATAAGCTCTTTACATCGCCTAAATTACAACTTCATGTACTGGCATTTATCCCTGACTGCCCTGCTAAAGAAATGTCCTCCAGAATGGCTTGTGCTGAAGAGGGCAGCGTCAAGTGCTTTTGCTGGAGGAAACTAAGTCAGCAGCCCCCAACCGGTCCAGTGTTAATGGATCTAATGCTTCCCCTCCCCTACCTGATGCAGTAACTTTTCTCTAGGGATAAAGCTTCAGAAAGAATCAGCCAAGCCCTTGTGTAGCTTGTGGTTTGGCTTCCTGCCCGCTCTGCCCTTCAAGCAGGAAATTCTCAAAGGGAAGGGAGTGCTTTGTGAAGCTACCTTAAGACTCTGCCTCTTCTCTTTTAGTCAGAATTTAGCATCAGGTCATCTGGAACTCCTGGAAGCTGACCAGACAGACTGATGGCGCCTACAGAAGGTATTTAAGCAACTTCTCTACCCTGATCCTTTTCCCCCATCTTTTGTCCTTTACGTCCTTGATTGCTGTTATTCAATCCTGAGATAATACAGTCCTGATATCACCGAGATGGGAGAGACAAGCAAGGAGGAAGAGATCAAAGGAAGGAGAAGAAAGAGAAGATGCCAAAGGCAGAAGAAGAAAGAGGAAAGATGCCAAATACTTCCTTGATTTATCTACTTTACATACCCAGTACACAAAGTTTCAGAAATTCTTAATGTACTTAATTTTCAGAGTTCTGGGGTTGCCACGTAGTCACCAGACAGCAGGGGCTGTGGGCATTCCTCTTTCCCCCAGCAGAGGAAGTAGCTTGAAAGCTGGATCCAGAAAGCCCAGGAGGCCCTTGGCACCTGTGAGTGTTGGCTGAACTTGAAAAGAAACCCGGTGGAGTGCAGGCTGGGAAAACAGTATGGTTTTACAGCATCTTTCTGCTTCCCTCTGCTGGGCAGACAACAGAAGTACCAACGAAATTCCTCCAAATCAGAAAGGGTCAGGGTGAAGAATAGCAAAAGATAGGAGGGGTCATCTTGCGCTATCACTACACAAACATTAATTTCACTTATTTCTTTAAATTTTCTCCTGAATTTCAAAAGAAATGCAATGTATATGTGTGAGTCCTGGGGGGCTCAAGAAGACTGGAAATGGGACCAAGGCCAGAGCTGGGTGGGTGAGAGATGGGGAGATGGTACAGATGAGGGCGCTGTATGTGGGGTAATTTCAAGGTTTAAACCACTAAGATTGCTTTACCATTTTTCTCATCCTGTTATCAGCTGTGATTACAAAGTTAATTTAACAACCTTGATCTAAACTTAGTTGCTATTCTTGACCCAAAACAGGATCATCATGGGTTGCAAAAAAATTCAAAATGAACGACATAAACTTCAAACGTTTTTGTTACTCACTTGGTTATACTGAAATCTCTTTGATTGAGAATTAAATCCCTTTTTTTCTGAGTTTGAGATTACTTTCCTATAGGGACTGGAGGAAATCTTGAAACCTAAAAGGAACCAACGATAACAAAATTCTGAATATGGAGATATAGGAAACATGTAACTACAACACCAGCTTTCATTTTTAAATAGGACGTGCAAGTTAAAGGCAAATCTAACGTTAATGCACTATTCAAATCAAGAAATCAGCAGTCATTTCTGCATTTAATTTCCCTGTTTTTTTTAAGCAGCAAAGGGGAAAAAAAGCACTTCGAAGCACTACTGTTGATGAATGGGCTTTAAGGGTGACTCAGTGCTGCTGAATTACTTTTGCAAATTGTCCTCATTTACTGAGTCAGGCATCTTAACAACTCACTTCAGGGGCTGACCCTCTCCACACTGAAAATCTGACGAAAGATGCTGAATGCTCCGGCTCTTGCCACCGGAGAAGCATTATGCTTTGCAGGCCTGCAATCAAAGGCGTTCTCTTGGCGGTGTTGTTGACTGGCAAGAGATGGTGAGCTGGAAGCTACTGTGGTTTTTCAAACTGCATAGTCTCTCACAGACCTATCATGACAAAACCACCGATACCTCATCTCATCAAGCTCTGGCGTTATTGCTACCAGTCATAGAGCTGTGCTGGCAATAGTACTGCATCGGGAAATTTTAGATATAAGCTCTGTGAAAATGTAAGTATGCTTCTGACCAAGGATTGTACAGGTCTTAAGATGAGCTCTGCAGCTAGAGGGAAGGTTAGTGCAGGGAAGAGGTTTGAGGAATTGCTAGGGACAGGGCTCTTACAGGGTAGGGTACAGGACAAGGAGGCGGTCAGTGCTACAAGGGAGTGAACAGCAAACTTTCCACTACACTGCAAACCACAGCAACTGCAGAGTTATTATTTGTTAGCATTCCCTATTCCTTTGTGCTTGTTTGTCCCCAGGAAGAGCAATTTGGGACCTGAACCACCTGCAACTGGCTGTGGATATAAATTGTTCCAGATATTACTTCCTATTGATCAGTTTCATTAATGAATCCTTGCTGTGCTGTGAAAAAAACCTTCGCAGGTTTGGGGTTTTCCTTCCACAGCTGTGACACCAAAGCACTGTTCCTCCTCA